TCAACGTCATGAATCATCAAGCAAATACAGACATAGGCTACAAAGAGATACCACTATACAACCATTATAATGACCATAGTTAAAAGGATTGACATTAAGTTTTGGTAGGAAGTGCATCAGCTAGAATCTCAAATGTTGCTAGTGGGAATGCATAATATGTTGGAAAACTGTGTGGCAGTTTCTTATAAAGTTAAACATGCATTTACCATGTGATCCCTCAATTCCACTCTTAGGTGTTTACCCCAGAGAAATGGAAACATGTCCACACACGGATTTGTACTTGGATGTTCATAACAGCTTTCTTCCTAATAGCCCCAAATGGGAAATGAGCTAAATATCCATTTGTTGGTGAATGGGTAAACAATTTGTGGTCTATGCATATGATGAAATACTAGTCTGCAATAAAAATGAATGAACTGATGTACACATCATAAACACAGCTTAAAAACATTATGCAAATGGAAGTAAACCAGACACCAAAGATTACTTTCCATATGATTCAAATTTTGTAAAATTTTAGAAAAGACAAAATTATGATAGAAACAGATAAGTGATTGCCAGGGGCTTCAGGGGAGGGGAAGGGATTTACTGCAGAGGGGCACAAGGGAAATTTCTGCAGCGATAGAAATTGTCTATACTATAATTGTAGTGTTAGTTATAGAACTATACACATTTATCAAGACTTACTGAAATTCACTTAGTATCAGTGAATTTTATTGTATATAAATTATAATTCAATAAAACCGCCTTTTAAAAGAACAGCCAACTCAATAAGAAAAAAAAACAACCCAATCCAAAAATGGGCAGAAGACCTAAACAAGCAATTCTCCAAGGAAGACATACAAATGATCAAAAAGCACATGAAAAAATGCTCTATATCACTAATTATCAGAGAAATTCAAATCAAAACTACAATGAGGTATCACCTCACACCAGTCAGAATGGCCATCATTCAAAAATCCACAAATGACAAATGCTGGAGAGGCTGTGGAGAAAGGGGAA